TGAATCAGGCCAGCATTTCTCACTTTCAAACTCGGTTAGGTACTTTACTAAAAGCCTTCTACGAATATAATCAACACTACATAGAACTCTATTCTATGTCAGAATCAGTTAGCGGATGATATCAGCAGCCTAATAATGAGAGTATCAGGTGATAGTTGAAAACTTTGTGAAACAATCTTGACTTTTTCGCAAAATGCAAAATTGCTACTTTGATGTTGGCACTTCTAGTAATCATACACAATGTTTTTCACACATGATATATATCATTTCAAGCAATTATCAATGCGTGTAGGTATTCATTAAAAATGTATTCACGATAAATTGAGGATTTTCTTCAGATTACTGTTCCCCTTTTGTTCTCACGTTCACCTTAACCAAAAACTGAAATCCAGTCAAAAATGGTTGCAGACGAGATAGCAGTAAACTAACATTTCGTCAAGTTTTGGAACTCTCCAACAATGCCAAGCCGCAGCTAAATGCATAACTCAGCTCTATAGTGTCTATCCTTGTCCAGGTTACAATTCAGTAAGCCTCTAAATGATGCTGATGCACAACAAACTGAAATACTCAGAGAACTAATTATCTACAAACCACGTAGTTCTGCAAACATTTCATCTCTGCAGGCATGTTCGTCGGCATTTGTCTCATCTTCATCACCGTGAGCATCATGCAGTACAACTGGTTTGCATTTTCACCTAACTTTGATCACAAGAAATAAAGTAGTAGATCACCTTCTATCTATGACCTTTTAAAGAACTTCATTTCACTAGGAATCACTTACCAAAGACATATTTTCTTTGAGAAGAGAAGAATCCTCAACCTTACTTGTTATTTTACGCATCTTGGTCTGTTTTCATAAAGTCTGTTGATCCATTAGATGTTTAGTATGCTGCTGTGAATTAAGTTTTACCAGATTGAGCTGAAGCATGACCATTGTGACGTGAAAACTCAAAGCTAATGGATAAGATTTCATTGCGTGTTGTAGTAAAAAAAAGCATTTGCTCGCTGCTTGCGCTGCTTTTTAAACCTATTTATTTACTGAGATATGCAAGTATATTTTATGCATCATTCAATTTTTCTATCATTAAGGTCCATCTGTCTTACGTAAATCCGTCTAAGAAAACTTACATAAATAAAACAGCTGCGGTGGTTGTTTACCAATACCAACTTTTGCAAAAATATTCCTGAAATTTCACAGAAGATTTGTGTTCATCTACTTTTATTTGACCAATACGCCAGTTATTCACCAATGGTGAATAATTGCCTGAATCTTCATGCTTCTGATTCTAGGTAAGAACAGGTTATCAACAAAATAAAAACTACTGGTAGGAACAGGTGATTAAGAAAATCAAATAAAGTCTTTGACTTCAACAGTGAGTAGCGCAACTGAGAGTCTCCAAGGGGATATGAGCTACTCAAGACTAAAAATACATGTCGCTGATAAGTTTTAGCAATCATTTAACCAATGCTCAGCGCTTTCTTTTGATGGATTGCTAACAGATCATTTTAACAGCTGACAAAAGTAAACATGAACGGAATAAAATTATGATGCACTGTTAAGCCCTTAAAAACTATAAATTTATTGTGTTGAACAGGAAATAAATTTTCAACTGACTTACTGAGAGATATTTCTCACGCGTAACGAATTACTTGTTATTACCACGTTGAAAGTAGTTGCTTTATCGTAATGGATATTTCTTTGAAGTTACACTTATTAGTTTCTTAAGTAAACTGCTACATCCTAACTCTCTAGAGACTCGTATTGGTACTTATCTCCATCAGTGCTTCAGTGTGACTTTTCATATCAAACTTTCCCTTCCTATGTATACAGAATGAGTTGGGTGAATATCAGTAATAATCTCCTACGCTAAGCATTTGACCAGTCACTTCTTTTTTTAAACCTGTGTTATAAAGAAAATGTGAGAAACTCCAATACCCAGGTACCTTTCGATAATATACTTATAGTGCTTTAGTCCATTTCACAATGCACAAACTTTTCATTTAAATATTTGCACAATTTATTGTACTACCTTCAGGAGATACGTGAATACTTTATAAAAACAACTATTTTTATGTTCCAACAAAATCTAGCCGATTCATAGCTTGTTGTCCTTTGTTTTCTACATAGAATTATTCAAAACAGTGAATTCGGATGACTTACCATGTCTTAACTTCAAGTTGTCTGAGCAATGCCTCTAGATTTGTTTCAGTAAAGGTAAGAGTCCTATAATATGAGATTTCTGCTAGAGATGGTTCGACTGCCTTCAACTTATAAGAGAATTGCGTCATATCTATATAGGAAAGCATGCACTGCTCTCAAATAAACACTGAACTGCTCACAGAATATAGATTGAATTGATGTCAAATGAAAACACTGACTGTCACTGAGTTACTGCCTAAAGAAGGATGTGAGAACATAAGAAACGTATGTACTTTGACAATTTTGCTTCAACTTAGCCCAAGTCAACAACAATTCGAACAAAAATTCTTATCAGGAGATATTGTCCTATCAACGTACCAGAATAGAAACCCAGAGATTTAAAATGTATCCTAACTAAGTATACGTATGCACAGCGAATAAGTAAGAAATATGTATAAATATTAATGAAGAATACTGGTGCTTTTTGCAGTCCCTATAAATATTACTATGCTTTCCGTCTACCTCCGAAATATGCAAGCGATAGGAAATGAAAAAGCAGGAAAAACTAAGGACAGAATCAGCGTTACAAACAATGCGTTTAACTTCAAGCATCAAGAGTCACACACTCAAATAATACTGAAATATTAGCGTTAGTCTTTCACCTCGCAAATCACCCACCTGTTGAAGTGTATTTAAGAAGATACTAAATCGAGATATACAAAGGTGGAGCTCTCTGTTATAGTGACTTATTGCTCAAAGGATCCATTGAGTGAGGTGGAAACATTTTAAATAAAATGTATCAGACAACATTCTTCAGATGGGATCTTTTGATGATTGATTGCACAAACAAAACTTTTAAGTTCTAGAGTTACTTGTTTCATTTATTTACATTTCACTTCTTAGCTAGATGAATAAGTAAAAGTTATATGTACTTGTCAATTCAACTGTTTTGTTGACTTCCTAGGCGTCGTATGAGAGCGGTGTTAATTTCCGTGCCAGTTAATCTGTTACACGTGCACTACCGTAAAACAGTGTTATTTATTAGAATTTATTTGAAAAAATTCATTTTCCTAGATCAGTCAGAAGTAAGTCCAAATGTTTGAGACTTAGATTTCATAGCTTAAATTGCGATGCCCTTGGTTTACTGCAACTCTATCTTAGGTCTATCAACTCATAGCTATGAATAATGATGGACAAAATAATACAAAATTTTTTTTGTGAACTCAGGAAATAGTCACTTATTAAGTGGTTTGGGCAATTTAATTATTCATAAACTGATAGCGCTTAGAATGTAGCTTGAATAAATTTAATTTTTGGTAAATAGATTTTCTGGACAGTAATCGTATTACGGACCATAATCATTTGCATTCCTGTGTTACGAAGATAGGAAGGAAATTAGTCAACTCCTAGGAATTCCTAAATTTATCTCACTTCGTCGGATACTCAGAAATTTCTCAATGAAGCCCACCTAACCCATGATTTAATCTAATAGTGTCTGTAGTGGTTTCAGATGTGACTGACGAGATAAACGGCTCAAAAATTGAGGTACTGTTAACAGAAACTTGTACTCTGATAACAAATATCCGGCAATATCTACTTTTAAGACGCGAAGAATATTGTTCTTCTTGTACGTCAAGCTATTATTGTCTGTCATATGTCTGTTGTTGACAGTTGCAAGCAAATTTCTTATGCCGCTCACGTTACTGCATGCAACAAGAATACAATAAGCGTACTTTTTCTGCTGTGAAATTTGTCTGAAAGCTGGATGCACCGAAGCCTTTCCATATACAAAGTAAATGAGTTCACAAGAATAGATATGGCTGGACTTCGCATTGAGAAACTATTGATGTGCTAGCATATTGCGCTTTCAAATGCGCAGAGTATATTTAGCTCAGTTCGACAAGAGTTTCTGCATTTTATTTTTCAGCTAGATATTTTACATGAATGGTGGAGAAAAGTATGCACTATTTCTCTTTTAACTTTGTCTTAAAAAATATCAAGGCTGAGATACAGTGAAACAACATCGACTTAGCCTCAGCATCTCTCCAGAGAAGAAACCTAAGTGAGATATTAGACTTAGTGAAAGAAACTTTGTTGAAAACAACCACCTTCAATGACTGCATACCCATCGAAAGTGTTTTGTCACAAAATCATATCTACTGCTCAGTCTTGTGTCACAAATCATAGTTCTTGGCACACTTCAGTAATGAACTCTAGTCAGTTTTTGAAATCAATGCAATTTTTAGATGTAATCTGGATAGTTTGTCAGTAATACTCCGTCCTTTTTTATTTTACTTACCTAATATGGTAATATTTTCAAGATTTGATGAACCTACAGATGATTACCTATGTTTTTTTACTGTAATCTTAGTCCATCATATTAGCTGGAGACGTGTACTTTTGAAAACTAAAAGTTGCTTTGTCTGCACTTGGTCTTTTGCTTAGTTTCATTAACTGTTTAAATTTGCACTCAAATTAGGCTTCCGTTTTATTTGGCTTATTCAAGTGTTCAGGATGTGGAAAACAGAATGACTAAGCTTTGGTTTCAAGCTTGTTCAGATAAGTATATACCTTTTAGGATATTTCAAGAAAATCTCCGTGTAAAATTATTGCCTGTATTTCAAAGCGATGATTCTGTAACAAAAACTATCACTGAATATAACTATTATTAAATGGTAAACTTCTATGAAATTAAAATCCTAGTATAAATGAAGCCTTTCAGAGAAGTTAACTAACCTCTCCTCACATTTTATTTCTCAAAATCAGAAAGAATTTTCTCGGCTAGTTTCAATTTACAACATTTGACTTCTTGCAAGTAATCTACTTACTATATTCAGATTCTATCTTTTTACCCTTTTAGATATGGATAGAAGATAAAGAAAATGAAAATACTGATCAAGGAGAATGCGAAATAACTTCTTCAAAAATATATCTGCAATCTGTCAACGAAATTTAAAAAAGTGGAATAAAGTATCTATTTTAAAACAACTGTTGGAGTTTTGTCTTGAAATATTTTTGAGTATTTTGCTGATCAGTTGCATTCGACGGAAGTTCTAATAGTCAGTTGTTATGTACCATCGAATATATCTCCCATACTCCATCAAATAGTACTTCTAAACTTGACTGTCATTCAGTAAATCAGCTTAATTGACAGATACTCTGGACAATAAACTTTGAATATTAAAGAGAACCTAACCTTTAGGTTTCACTGCTGCTTTAAAGTGACAACAGTGGCTTTCTTTACAAATAGTTCATCACATACCTAAATAACAGGTAACATTCATATGTGTGTATACTTCAAACTATTTGGTTTATGAAATTAAGCAATAACGTTAATAGGAACAATAACGATTACAGTATGATACTAATGCACTTCAGTGGTTGTAGTATACTGTTTTAGAAATAATATGTTAGTGAAATACAAACTTATTTGAAAACTATTTTCATCAAAGGCTGACATCAAGCAACGCATTTAGAGTTCAGCTGACATTCGTTTCATTTTAGTATAGTCTTCCTCAAAGTATGTTCCTGTGAACTCATTTTGTCCTAGATCAAGATCATTAAATCTTACGATCAGCATGTTTCTATTCAATCATTAGATTGAAATTCAGTGGTAAACAATGTCGGCAAGTTCTGCTAGCTTGTGATACGCCGTAACTACTACTCAGTATCATCCGTAGATATTTTATCGTCTTCATGTACCTTACCGACTGCTCAGGTTGCTGCCTCTCGACCAAATCTGAAGAAATACACCTCAGAGTTAGTTATTAGTATGAATTTATCAACTGATTTAACTACCCAGTAAGATCAGTGTATGATATCCAATGTAATCCACTACAAATACTATACTCGATTAAGCAGTATTCGAAGACAGTGGTGTTGCTGTGCTTTTTTTTACGAAGGTGCGAAAGTTTGGAGAACTCTAATAAAATTTAATTGATGGACTTGCAGCTCCTTAACATTTGCACAAAGTGGATTACAACCTGCAGTGTATGCCAACTCTGATTAAATTCCTTTAGGTCCAAACATATAGATGTACATTGATAAGGGTGAATATATCATTGGAGAAATAGTCAGTCGATACAGGCAGCCAGATGGTGTGTTATAGGAAGAAACATATGTAGAAAAAGTCAAAAAATACTATTTTCAGTAATATAAACTTCTAAAACATCGCCTTATGTATTCTAAAAATTAGTAGAAAGACGACATAAAAACAGAGTAAATTACGTCGTCCTTCCTGTTAATTACTAAAGCTTTAATATACATATATTATTCTTTACCATTAGGATCCAAGTGGAAAAAAAGGATTCAGTAGCACGTCTCTACAGAACTCCGCTCCACGAAATCTTTTCAACCTGCTTCCACAACAGCCCACTAGCTTGCATTTATTCCTCACACCATCTCCTCCATGTCACCCTCGCCTCCGACGCCCAACTCGTCGTTTCCTATGCTCGTCCCACTCGAGGGCATGGCCTGATGCATGATGTCCCTACCAGTCTCCCCAGTGTATGCCCAATCCAATCCATCTCCACCACCCTCTACATATTTGTTGGGAGACAGGTTCTTGGTCGATTGGTTGCCAGCCAGCCAGCCAGCCAGCCAGCCTGAATTCCTTGTTGCTTATTCTTATTATTCTGGCCATCTGAGCTTCAGTAATGAACCAACGTAGGCAGTTGTTGATGAATGTCTGCAGTTTGTTGGAAATGCCTTTCGTAACACACCAAGTCTCTAAGCCATACAGAAGCAGTAACTTCACTGAATTGGTGTTGAAAATCCGGATGTTGTTCCACATGCTGAGTGCAGTGCAGTAGATCTCCACACTGGTTTCAGGCTAATGAACACCTGTCTTGCTGTCTTTCCGATCCTGGCTGGCTTTGACGTGCTCGTCTGTGCCACTGCCACCTGTAGTTGAAACAGTGCTGCCTAGATAGGTGAAGGAGGCTACTTCTTTTAAGTTTCTCCTGTTGATGGTGATTGGAGCTTCTTGTTGTTGGTGGTGGTGATGGTGTTGGTTGGGTATCTTCATCACCTCTGTCTTCTCTACGTTCAATTGGAGTCCCGTCTTCTTTCACTGCCCTGCCTCTTCTGTCAACTTGTTGGATTTTGCCTGTAGATCTTCGAGTTTGTGTGACATTAGACACAAGACATCGGCGAAATCCAACTATTCTAGGATGTTTTCCCCGGGTCCAGCTTATCTCCCTCCTCTCGCTCCTCAGATGTTGCAGCATGATCCAGTCCACCACAATCAGGAATACCATGGGTGATGGTAGACAGCCTTGTCTTATGCCGTCCAGTCTTCACTTCAAAGGCATCACTGATTTTCCCATTGTTGATCACTCTTCATGTGACGCTTTCATATAGTTTTTGAATGAGGCTGATAAGGGTTTGTGGTATTCCATAGTGTTGAAGCAGTTGCCGAATTACTTCTCGGTTGACACTGTCGAAGTCCTTTTCAAAGTCGATGAAGTTGAGGTAGAGAGATCCATTCCTTATCTTCTTTCTTCTTCCTTCCTAATACGGTTATACAGGTTTCTTTCCACATAGGTTTCAAAGACTTCCAGTGTTCATCCACACAGTTTTCTTCCATGACGTTGTTCGATATCTCCCATTTTGTCTTGATGGCTGACGTGAAGATTTCCTTTCTAGTTTCCTCCTTCATTTTCTGTTGTTGGTGTTGGTGTTCAACTTGAACTGTGGTCTATCACCAACTTCCTTGAAGGCTTCCAACCTGATTTTGAAGGCTCCTTGTACCAGACAGTGAGTGGTCTGAACCACCTACATCTGCTCCCCTGGTTGATCTGATCTTGTCTCCAGTAGGCTGCATCTCCACTTTCTTCACATTGAGATGAAGTCGATCTGATTTCAGTGTGTTCATCTGGTGAAGTTGAATGCACGTCGTTGCTTTGAGGAAATCCTTGTGTTTGTACACACTGCCTCACTCCAATCACCAAATCGTTGAGTGCGTAGAATTCTGCAAACAGTTCTCCATTCTCGTTCATCATTTCACCGAGTGCTTCTCGACCAATGATGAGTTCGTTCTCTTCCTGTTTTGTCCGCTCCCAGTTTGGCTGGCATTCGTATCCCTCCACCCATTAGAATTTTGATGTTGCCATCGCCAACTGGGGTGGGGTCTTGTCCAGTGTTGATTGCAGTTGTCTGTAGAATTCCTCCTTCTTCTCTTCATCCGCATTATTTGTAGGTGCGTAGCATAGCATTGTGTGATTGTGACTTTCCTTCTTTTCGAAGAGTGGAATCTTGCTGTAATCATTTTGATCGTGGAGGAGGAGATTGGTTCCCACTGCACGAGAGAGCCTTCGATGCTCTTGAGTAAGAGACATCATGATAGCCACTGTGAAACTCAGTGTGGTTGTGGTTGTCGTCTGGGTGACATTATCGGAGTGGATAATTGACTGCAGTTGACAGTTTGGAGAGTCCACTTCCATTCCACCTGCTTTCGCAGATTCCTAGTGCTTCAATATTATACCTTCTCATCTCCTTTGCAATCTGAGCAGCCTTGCTAGGTGCAAACAGAGTGCGGACATTTCATGTCCCTATGTTTACTTTCGCTTTCATTGAGAGAAGCGAAGACATATCGGCCAATTAGCTTCCCAAAGGTTTTCACCAACCGGCGTCATTTCGTCTCCCCGATTCCAGTGAGGAATAAGTTTGTTTTATGTTTTATATTTTGTCTGTGCTCTGAAGTTTCTGTAGCAGTTGGATTGTTTTTCCGGGGTATGGTTGCTAGCCCTATTCCCAACCTTCCCTGATTATCGGGGCTTAGGACCGGCTAGTAACTATTGAACTCGTCAACTTTTCAAATACTAATATGTGAACGAAACGATTTTGTAATAGACTCAGTTGGGAGGGTGAATATGTTTTTGGTGGATTGTAAATATCTCATTCATTAATAGGTTCCACATATGCACTAAAGAATTTGAAGCATATTCTTCTGCGTAAGCCGAAAAGGGTAATGATGACAAGTGTTTACCACTTCTATCGTTTGTCCCATTGTAGTAGAAAAATAATTAAGATGACTATTGGTTCAAAAATGCCAACAGGATTTACTTTTGTAGCAAAGATTGCTCATACCACTGAGATATTGGTTTTAGATGTAAAAAGACCATTCAGACTATTTCCAACTAAAAGAATGAAAGATAGTAAAAATGAACATGACAGCCATTTGTAGGCGTGATTAAAACACTTATTCTCAGGCACTGACATCGAGACAGATAACTAAAATCCTTGAAAGTCTACTTGGATGTTGCGTATGACTTTACCGAGGAAATTTTTGTAAGGAGATATATCTTATTGTCACATTCGAAAAATATTTTCATGTGCTTATGTCTGTATGAGGTTATTTGGTTAGCCTTCTAAACCTCAACTTGTCAAGAACTTTTCACTAACCACATTCAGTGGCTTTATAAGTAAGCATAAGATTCTGAGTAGTGATAAGAAGTTACTCTGAAGCATTCTGTTTTATTTCTTTTATTTATCTATGAGTGTACTATTGTAAAAATCGACTGACTGAAAACCATTCTTGTTTTGAAATCGACATATTCCCTTTATTACATCAACAAGGATAAATACTTCAGTGCTTACTACCAAGTCTTGTATTAGATTGTTACCTGTGAAGAGCATTTAGGTAGACATAAAAATACAAGTTTGTTATCACATAAGAGATAAATTTCGCAACTAACATCAGTATCCAGTTAATTTCTACTAGGACATATTAATAATAATATTGATAACAATAGTTACTGTTGTGACACCAGTAAATTTTGTACTAAAGTCTAATTAAAGTATCATGTATTTATTTGAACACTGGAGAGTAAAGTCTAATGGAAACGCACTAATTTTGAAGACCACACTAAGTAGCTGCCAGTTCAAGAAGCTATGAAAAGTAGGATGATGACGCTTTTCAGGGACGCTTTGAATATCTACAGTGTTCATGTTAGCTTCCCGATCACTGGCTATGATTTCATTA